GAGCAAGTTAGTTTATGTAATATCGGCTAAACACCGATCTCTGAACGAACACAGTTGCGCGAGGTGCATTCACGTAAATCATTTGAATCATTTTCGCTCACGCCTGTTACTAGAGTTAGCTCACGATTGCTGCGTTTGTTTGCTGCTCGCCACAGACTTTGGGGCATCAGAAGCCACGTATTAACCTCCACTCAGCCGCAATCTCTAAATAATAATTGTTTCGTGAAAAAGTTGACAGTTCACTTAAATTTAGCTTTAATTTTGAAAACATTCTACTGACCATTGAAAGTAACGATAGTGTTTGATGACATCCATGTCAGTTAGCGATTTAGTGTGTTGATAAAACACCTCCGTCCTTCTAATAAGGTAAAAAGTAAGCTTTTTCCAAGTCAGAATTTCACCAATGCGTTGCATAGTTAAAACATTTGATTAAACTTTGGTAAGATTCTCCGATATAAGCACTACCTTAGTAGCCAGTAAGAAGACAACTGCTGCTATTAACGTATCATTTCTGCAATTGTGCGTTTAAGTAAGATCCACTTGGATTAACCGCTACAATTGTGTAATTCAATAAAAGTACAGCTCAAAGTAACGTCATTTTGAGTGTATATAAAACCATACTTAAGAACAAAGAATCTCTAGGCCCAGACAAGTTTTTTTCACAGTACAAGTCGGTTGCATATTTATTAGATCGGTTACCAACTACTATTTGCCTTAATAATTTGGTAACTGTGAAACTTTAAAAAAATTCTGCCGTTAAGAATATATTCGTGAAAAGGGTTTTAACAATAGCATGAAAGATTTAATTTATCTGTATTGACTTTTGAAATATAATGAAATTTCTAGGGCGTTTAAAGAACCTTCCAGGGATGTGACCACATCTAAATTACTGATCTATTACTATATCCAGGTACATTGACTATTATAGGGGACTACAGAATGTGCTTAAAACGTGAAAGCGGTCAACGTTTGATGACATGAATGTAGGTATGTTATGTTATTAGAAAAATCATATAGGAGTATATGCACAAGGTACGGGGCATTCTAGTACCAGGGAGGGGTTAATGTGTGTCTCCAATAGGTCACAAAACCTAGTGAGCAATGCTGCAGAACATTCTACAATTGACATAATTTGACTCTTAAGCAGTTCTTTGCTATTACACCGATTACCAGGCTAGCTGGTTTAGTTGATTAAAATTCAAACACTATTGCGATCCGGATGGCTCGTAGTAGGAAATAATCCACCCAACTCTTATTACTACATCAGGACCAATACACTATTAATGCTTATGGGAATTGTGCGGAGTGAAACATTCTGAGTTCCAAGGTCATATGAAATTAAATAAAAGTTCTGTCTGAAACCCATGGTACGGTTAAATTCTTGTTCTTTCCACGGTTTCACATGCAAATATGAGCTGACAGATCCATCGACAGGACTAGAACGCCCTGCCATGTGGTGAGTTGCATTTGAATAAACACACGTGACAACTCACAGTTTAAGTGCCTTTGCATTTATTCATGCTTCAAGGACAAAATCAGCTTTGGAAAACCGGCAAGCCTACCACCCACACACCGCAGTTCTCTGAGCCTGGTGGTTTCCTTGATTAGCCTCAGTAAATGGTATTGTGTATAGTTCGATCACTAGGAACTATAACCATTTTGTACATTTCTCAAATGTACCTGTTAAAAACAGAGTTTGCATGATGCTCAAAACGATAATTTGACTTGCGTAGTAAAAGGAATTTGGAATACCACAAACAAGAAAGTTGATGGGCTAGAAAACGAGGTTCACAATCTCTACAAAGAAGTTAGCACCATGCTCAGGGGAGAAAACCCGCAGTATGCTAAAGAAAGTTTTCTTGGAAGACGAAATCAGACCCGCTATCTGTTAAGCTGAGGATGAAGAAAGTTATCACCTAAAAATTTACAGAAAATATCCTCCGCTTACCCTACATCGGAAAGACTGCTTGAATCATTTTGGCACTAAGATTTAAGGAAAAGGAGAGGAAACGGCTCATTTTTCATGGCACAAAGTTGAATGGATTGAGTAGATTCCAACACTTCTTCAACAGCATCGCCGTGGCTTGGAAAAGGAGGAAAACCATGCCGCATTTGCCTGTGGTTGCGTAGGACGTCCCAGTGAATCGACATTAGACAAAAGGCAAGGAGTGTGCCCAAAAACAGCTTTGTCTGATCGGGCTATTCAGTAAATCCGGCTTTCCTGAACATCCAAATATTAACAGGAAGGTGATTGTAGAGAACTTAATTTAATGATGTTCTAGAACCAAACCTAAACATCGTCAGTTCTGATTACATCTACAAACCGAAAAACACCATAAAAAATCCATCGATGAGTTTTGCAAAATTTATAGGATAAAACTAGATAATTTCATACAAGTTGGAGCAAAAAAAGCCGAATTATAGCAAGGTAGCAATTTACTGCATCATTTCGAAATCTGATGCTGGTGAATGGTCGGAAACGTCGTCTTGGGATAGCATTGCCTTCTCGTCTTGTTCATTATGTTGTAAGTATTTAAAACAAGGTTGAGAACAACGTTCACTGTACGCAAGCCAGACACATTCTCGCTATCATTTAGCCTTAGGTTTGGAAGTGTGTTTTTCACGAGAAGCTGTTTGGTCGGGGGTAGCATCATGAACGTCTTTAATTCAAAAGTGTAATCGATTCATTAGTTTATGCAAATTTTAATGCACTCATGAATAAATGCGTGTTCGAGTGAAAGACATCATTATATAAATTCTTAAGGGATATTTAGCATTAAAGATGGTGGCATGCTTTAGTTTAAAAACAAAGTTATGAGTGAAAAAAGCAGATGTGATGGGTGTCCCTAAAACCAGTAACATGCTCGTCAGAAGTCTATTCTTCTAAGTACACATTGTTTTCTCCTATCATTTGGACGGCCCCATTAGCAAGCAGCAATACACGTTTGTGATACCGACGTACCAGCCGTTTACATACCAGTGGAACACTGCGATGGAAATAAAAAAATCACAGCCTATGCGACAGGCCTCTTGGTGCATGCTTAAATTCTCTCAGGGTGGTTGGAAAGCAGACGATCCACAACAAAGTCTCAAGATGGTATTAGTAATCAAGTGTGTGTGTGTGACAAGTTGATGGGCTCCAAGAGCGTCTGCATCATGTTGAGGATCTGATAATGAAAGGAAAAAAAGTGCGTCTGCGAATGGACGCTTGTATCAGCATTTATTAGGGTTGTTTGAATTAAACTTAACACACTCAGAGTCAAATATTTAACAGAAATAAACGGCCAAATTCAATGTTGGTTTAAAACAACCTAGTAAATTCATTTGGGAATACATCTAGTGTTAAGAAGCAGCATGACCTAGACCTTTGTGGTTTTTCATTTGATGCTAGTTGTTATAACCTAGGAGTTTTGCAGCAGAGTCCAAAGGCACCTTGGTCATCAGTAACGTCATTCCCCGAATTAACGAGATTAGTATAAGATGTCAGAAATCACTTCATTTCAAAAGGGTAAATTTGCTTTATTTATCAAGTTTAAAGTATCATTCCCTAAAATAAACACCTTCAAATTGAGACTGAAATTTTGCTTCCACAGAATGCTTACGCCTGGAGCTGCACACAGCCACCATAAGCTACTCTTTACGGATTCCTAAGATTAGCCCTTGAAACCCTGACCCACATTTTTTGAAAGAAGTCTTAGTCGGTAAATATCACTAATTCTTCTACCCAACGGTTTGGCTAATTTGGAATTATGATTGATTTGATGTATACTTATGCATGCAACACCTTGAATCCGAATTAAAAAAAAAGATAACATACGGATTTTAGTCCAGACATCGGCAAACATGATTTCACATAAATCAGTAGGCTCACACAACATAAGGGCAATGAAATCCATGTGGATGGTCTACTGAATCCCAGTCATTTGTTGCTCTTCTCATTCGCATATCGATGTCAGTTTATTAAACTAAACTTTGGGTTAATCTTTACGTAGATAAAAAGTCGAGATCATTTATATATTTAAGCTCTACCATTTAGTTTTTGTTGCCTTCTGTGTTTTGTCATGTAAAATATTGAAGCTGGCAGAAAGAATAGCCCAACTGAAATTCCGTTTTTTGATCATGACGACATAGACCCAGGGTAGGCCGTTACTAAAAAGTTGGTGTGTTTGATCATAACTGTGGGATTAGTGCCTAATTACTCTCCTGGTATACACTTTCCGGCAAAGGATGGCAAAAGTGTGTACCCTGTCTCATATTCTAAGAACTAGTTTTTCAAAACTGAAGTACCTTCATCTTGAGTGTTTAAGAGGTCTTAGTGTGATTCATATCTCACTTATAATAAACCATTTTTAAATACCTGTGAATCGCACTGCTAGGGCCTCTATGACGTGTCGTCTTTTATTCATTCAGCACGCACTTACAGAGGGCAACTGAGGGTGACGACTTTGAACATGAAATGAATGCCAATCTAAAAGACACTACTTAAACCAAAAGGCCTAAAGTTTACAAAATACACAGTCTGCACATAGAAATCAGCACTTGTTAAAAAATTTAAATACATCTTAGTAACAAAATTTGTTCCCTTGGTCAATTGATAAATCCATGTTTCCTAATGCTAACCCTGGCTAATCAACGAACTGAGGTAGTTACCAGGGGTAAATTAGGGCAATTTGCTAAAACGTTTGTTTTGGTTCACATGAAGTTACAGATTTGGTAAAATTGTCCTAGATGATTTGAACACTTTCATCATACCGTTAAAAAGTAAAAAAATTATTAGTCACATTCACCATTGTTTTCTTTTGGATTTTCCACAATTCATTTAAGAAATAATCCATAATTAATTACTCCATTTTATGCTTAAATGAATAAAACTCACTAGAAGCCACAAAAATGTAAAAAAAGCCCTAACCAGTACATAGTAGTTTCAATAAAAAATATGTATTCACAGATAAACGAATGTTCACGACAAAGGATTAATACATTTCTTGCATAAATATGTTCTAGTTCATCACTTGCATTGTTTCCCTCACCACTCGGTCTATATACTGTGATCTGGGTGACATCCTTTCCCCATAGAAAACAGAGGACTTATCACGACAGATGAAGTCGGGACCGTCAGAATCCTTATCATCATAACTGTCACTTGAGCAAGCAGATGTTGAGGATGTTTCCAAGTGAAAGTTGAACTTTGTCTCACCATCCTGGTAGTAACACCGCCTTGGACAGTAGTGAGTGTAAGTTACTGACATTCCCTTCATCGTTTTCACGCCATTCAAACCTGATTCCTTTGTTGTGGATAATGAGGAAAAGCGAGAACTGTGAAACTGCGGATTCCTCCAGGGTTCGTCCTCTGACGGGCTTCCTCTGCTGATTTGACGGTTATCCGAGGGATGTGTCTTTTGAATTTTGGGTTCTGCGTTGTTGCTGACGCGATCCGTGCACTTAAAAGCCTCTGGATTAACTTCAAAAACAGCTTTCTGAAAAATGTTGCAAATTTGGGGATCACGCCAAGTGAAGAGACCGGTAAATTGTTTGACTTTTTTGGACTTGGGTACATATAGAAGAAAGGAACACTTGTTTTCAGGAGTTGGAACCATTTGGGCAATATTCGTGTAGTAAATCGATTTTAATTTCTTTGCCTTGCTAAGCGGCTTAAATTTTACCTTGTTTGGATAAATGAATGCCTCGTATGCAGACACATCCGCCTGAGATTGCGCCGTTGAGTTGTAAATTTTCTTGACTTCCTCTTCAGAATACTCCTTCCTTTTCTTATCCCTTATCTTCTTTAGTAGAATGCATTCCCCTGTTGTTGGTGCAGCGTCTGCTGAAATGTCTTTCTTCTTACCAGATTTTTCCTTATTCGACTTTTTATCCCGTTTCTTTTTCTCCATTGTTTCCTTTTTATCCTTTGTCATATTAGAACTGCAAACTAACCCCCTCAAACAGCAACAAGTAACTGTCTACTTTATTAGTAACACCTTCACTGTTCTTACTCAAAGACCCAATCAGAAACAAACTACTCCTCATTTTGAATGTGAATGGTCCACAGTTGGTAATGGCTCACCTACGCATGAATCGCGTATGCGTCGGTAAAGCAGAACAAATGAAAAAATGTGTGCGTTTTGAAAGTGTGAGCAAATGATGCTTCAATAATTTTGTGTAAACAGTGGTCTCAGTTGACAACGCAGCTAACTTCAAACCACACAATTGGTGTGCTGACGTACACAGGAGGAAAATTTCGAAATTCCACGTGCAGTCCGTGGGTACTATAGCAGCGCCCCATTGCCTTAGAGAATAAAACTTTTCAGTTCTTGTGTCAAACATCATCCCATTAATAAAAATTGCCTGCATTCAATAGGTTTTTTCAATGTACGGGATAGTTGACGGACTGGATACTAAGACGGAATCAGAAATTTATAATCTTTCATCTTATTTAGGTGCTTTGATACATACACTTACGTTTAGTTAGGACTTCTGTGTTGGCATTTTTTTCTATAACTTCACTGTTTAGGTGCGATATCTTATTTCAACTCTCATTCTGTAACATGAACCTTATTGAAAAAGCCCGGTAAATCGGTAAGTAGGTCGTGGGTCAATACCTTTTTTGCACATGGAAATCAGAAGCCTTAGTTAAAATCAATCCAAATATTCATTTAAATAAATTCGTCTTTTGTCAGTTTGGCTGGTGGCAGGATCGTGTGCGCCAAGCACAAGCGAGATACGTCATGGTATACAAGGTCAAGTCACACCCTCATGCATAGACGACACGATTGGGCCACCTAATAAACGGGCGGCTTCCTAACGTCTCTTGCCTTTCCATTTACCTTAAATCGTCTACATATCTTACCCAGATCCACCTACGAGCGTGGGTCAAATAATGTTGAAGTTTTTGATGGACTACTGAAGACCTAGATTGAATATTCGCAGATGAAATTGTTATTGTGTTTCAGCTAAAAGTTTTACTTTTTAACCAGATTAAAGAGAAGTGTGTGTGACGCATGAAAATTCTTTCTTTTCATTTGATTACGCAACTCCAACGTCTTCACAGAGGTAACATTTACTCATGCTCACCCAAATAGAAGCCAACGCGTTTGGCACTTCACGATCAAATATATCTTCAGATAAACGATTTCGATTGGAGCGGGAGTGAATTAAAGCTGACAAAGTAGCTGTAAAACTTTGTCTGAATGCCGAAATTATTCCAAGAAAAATTCAGTAGAATAAAGTTTTAGCGATTTTGTAGGACAGTACTATGTCCACTTACGCACTGCGAATAACATTTTCTAAGAGCTAAATTAGTATAATTGTAACTGCTGTTTTTCTTACTCAATCCTAAAAAACAATGTTTTGATACATAAATCCGGTAATCAAAATAAACGCGATCAAATACACCACTTTAATCTTGTTAAAGTCAGGTTGTTTATTAGAAACCGGCCAAAGGTATTTAGTGTCACTGTGACTATAACAATTCAACCTATCATCTAAACTAAAATATGAAAGAACTTGAATAGTGTTACATATAAAAAGTTTGGAAATATTAATAATGTGTGCCCAAAATTAAAGGCATCAAACTAGGAGAAAAGCGGAAATTTTAAAATGTTACACGAAATAAATAATTTCCGTAAAATTAACTATATTCGTTACCCCCAACGCAGATTGTCGATTTCAAAGGAAGTGGTGTATCAGTTATTTTACCTGAATGTTATTTGAAATGCTGATTTATCTGGTATGATGTATAATAATTTTAACATAGTGGACACGCGTGGACTCCGCATCAAATTAAGAACTCTGTAATTATCTCAAAATTAACTAAAATGAAGGCAGAGTCTAGACACACTGAAGCAGACAGCTGCAAGAGCTACGAAAGTTTCGGCTCTTAAGTTTCGAGTTCGAAAATTTTTGCAGGACCGTATAATGTGATTTTGTTTTATTTGTCTGTAAATATTAAAAATACTTAAGGCTAATTTACACCTGAGCCACCCTTTATGCACGCGTGTACACTTAAATTGAGAATGATCTAAATAGTGATATTAACGAGTACTCTGTCAAACATTAATGAATAACAAAGTCAATAAAGTGTAACAAATCGGTGATAGAGGTCCGTTATAATTTCGGGTAAGTCATCCCTGATTGAAAGAAAGCAAACAGTAGACAGCAATGAAAGTAAAGGATTTAGTGAACACAGCCGTTGAGGACCAGATAAGCATATTCCAATGCCATTTTATAGAACTTAATCATTGCAACATAAAATATTTTAAATGTCTTTAAAATAGCCTTTATACTAACCCCAGTAAATGGGCTTGAGTTATATCACGCAAGAGTCAGATCACGATCCTCATATTAACAAGAAAAAGGTAGTGCTATTTCTTCTCTTGACTTCATAGAAGACTTAGGTAGAGCTATGGGTTTGATTCGATGCATATTTATTCTTTTGTGAAGGTTAAACTCCCATCGACTCTGCTGACGTATTCTTGGAGGTTCTGTCCCGTTTTCCCAGTTTTTGCGTCAGTCATGGATGGCAGCGCCCTTTGGTAAACACTTTCACCCTTACCATGCAACTTTTTAGGCATTTGTATATTTTAAAGATTACAAGTAGTAATTTGTCGAGTCACTCCTAGGCAGATTTAATATGTATAAGAAAACACGCCTCCAAATATACTACGAAAATATACAACAACGTTAAGGCATCTTTTTTTAAAGATTATGTGTTTATCATTTGCTTTGCCCTCTTGTTTCTCTAGATACTTCGTACCATACCATATCACAAGAATTCCAACATAAAGAATAGCATGTTAAAACCGTTTCAGTGGTGGATTAATATTTGAAGGCATGTGGCATTTACTGACTTTTGGTCTGACTGGCCATACACCATAAACTCAAGTAAATTCATTTAAAAGCACTTGGAGTCTTTGCCTTAATAATTCCTAAAAAAGGTGAAAGTCGGCTTTGGAAAACGTTTTCGTTAGCGAAATTGACTGCATTTTCAAAGTTAACACTGAAGTAATAGAGTCCAAAGTCAAAAATAGTGCTAAAAGATCCTTTTGTTTCTTCTTTAAATCAATGATGATCTAATAAATATAGCCCTCTTTGACCTTAATTTTAACGTGGTGCTCATATTCAAAGGCAGGCATGTCATTCCAGATTCAGACTAGCAAAACTAAACTAGCGTTTTTTTTGTTTAGACTCCCACGATCTTTTATCTGCGCCATCTTCTGTAAACCAGATGCAACACAAGATCAGACGTGGCAGGAGTCAAATATTTGTTTTGTCAAAGCATTTGTATTTGATTTATGATTATTAAAAGTTGATGTTTTGTAAAATAGAAGCTAATGCGGTGGTAACTGAGCGCAATGGAGTAGTGACCCTTAAAACTAAAATGGAGTTATAGCACGTTGCTTGACGCCAGGCTTATATATAATACAGAATAAAATCTTCAAAAATCAGTACTGACGAAAGTGCGTCTGCATTATTATTTATACTATCCGTTATCAATAAACAAGCGACGCACATTTTTCAGATAAGGCGTTCTACAAAGACCTGTTACCATCAGCTGGATATGAACTCAAAAGTTATTGGTCAAAAGAAATAAATATAAAGTCTAAATAAATTAAGTTATAGCTTTTTCTATGATCATATTAATCATTGTCGTAGAGAAGCGAAGTGTAGACATATGACTTGAGGTATTCAGCTGCAAACGTCAAGATTGAACTAAACCTTAGACTGACACCATGGTAAAAACCGGTTCATGTTGTTTGTTTTTTGAAAACACTTAAAAGCCCAATTAAGCTAAGATCCAGTACTTATATAACATGTATTTATACCAAGGACACCGAGGGGCTATTTTTCTAAATTACTCTTAGACAATTTGCGAATAGTACAATATTTATTTTTAATAAACAGCCAAAGAATACAAGAACTATTTAGAATCACTACATCACAACAAGATAATAGGAACTGATTACTTCCCCAAAAATTCTCTTGGTACACACTGATGACGATTTATATTGAAGGTCACTATTAGTAAAGGCATTGTGACCGAAACTCAGGATAGCCTGCAAGGATGGCTTCGACCCACATTGTCACAATGAAATTTGACACGTTCCAGAGTCTTGGGGACGAGGAATTGGATGACGAGCTAGAGAATGTAGAGGAATCACAGGAATTAAGTGCCCGAACATCGTATTTGAACCATCTTAAGCTACTGCGTGAATCACAATTTGAGTTGCCTAAGACGGTTTCCTTAATTGAATGCCCTAATGGTACGAAAGTTTATTTGGTTGGGACCGCCCACTTCAGCAAAGATAGTATTGATGACGTCCGTTACGTAGGCAAATTTATGATATATTTTTACATTAATTTTCGTTTAGATTATGGAGAAAACACTTCCTGATGTGGTCGTTGTCGAGCTATGTAAAAACCGGAGCCATTCGATGCTGCTCTCCGAAGAGGAGATAAAACGTCAGATTCAAGAAAACAACCTGTCAACATTTATCAAAAACGTAGGTTTTATTTTGGTGCCTGGCTTTTAGTTCAGGTGCAGAAATTCTTTTCGATTTCAAGTTAGCGTACCAGGTATCGCGAACTCTTCACGTTAACAATTTTGGGGTTTGATGTAAAACTTATTTTCGGCGTGATTTTGTAACAGCCTGTTTGATTGGATCATTTAGAGACCTCGGCTTTAGAAAGTGCCCACTTTCATTCTGCTTAAACAATAGGAAACTTTCAAAATTTAAACTAAGTCATTCCTTAAAAAAACCCACTTCAGATTACATATTCAGCCTAGAGGGCCTTCGTGGTCTTCAATGTATTTGAAATCTTGAATAATTATATTTGCTCAATCTTTTTCACTTCCTAGATGGGCCTTTCCAATGGTATACTGCAGTACCTGTTACTCAGGTTCACAAATTACATAATGCAGCAAATAGGGATGGCACCCGGTGGTGAATTTCGTGCTGCATTTCAAGAAGTAGATATATTCTGGTTTTTCATCGCCCTTGATTTAGGTATCTAAGCAACCTCATTGCCATCTCATTCTTGGCGACCGATCTATCAAAATAACTCTTCAAAGAGCCATGGATGCTTTAGGGCTTTGGCAGAAAACGAAAATATTATGCTCGTTATTGTTTGGCTTCGAGAAAATAACGTATGTTCTCAATTTTACTTTGCTGACAGCTCCATGGGATAATTGCTGTAGTTCTTGTCTTTGCCAAACCATCAAATGGATGTCTCATTATTTCATATTTTCCATGCGTTATCAAATGTGTCATTTCTTCTTTTACCCAAGTTTCCAAAAACTTCGAGCAGCCCTTGCACTAATGTCTACGTGAATTTACGCAAATTACTACATGAACTTGCATGCACTAAAGAATTTAAGATTTTCGTCATTTTGTCACCATTATGAATTCATGAGTTTTTATAGAAATCCTCTACTTTAATCAAACTTCAGTGGCCTTTTACAAAGCATTATAAAGGATTGTTTTCTCACTCTTATTTAAATCAACTATTGGTTATAATAAGGTCATTAATATCATTTTCGAACTAGTATTCAAAAAAACAAATCGATAATACGAAATTGCAGCAGCATTATTTCATAAGTTACCAGGTATCCTTTGTTCTTTTACACCACACGACTATGGTAACTCGATTATTTTAAAATACAGCCCTGAAGAAGTGGAAGAGATGAAACGTGAAGACCTTCTAGAACAACTGATTAAAACACTAGCTGGTGACTACCCCGAATTAACGCGAACAATTCTTGAAGAGCGTGACCTCTACCTTGCTCGATCGATCTGGGAGGTCTGTGGCCTCTCCTCCTGTCCGAATTCGTCGTCAACAACGTCTCCTGGTATGGATTGTGAAGTTTCTGGTGAACTTCGCCAGAGGCACAACGAAGAAACAAATGAGGGAACGCAACCCGAAGTTTGTGTCGCGCGTCTCCAGTGCTGTCCTGAGTGGCCTGGCCTCGATGTGCTTTCGCGGGTAGTTGTAGCGGTCGTTGGCATCGGTCACGTTGCTGGCATCAAAAAAGCTTGGGAATCTGCCGCCACCATCGATAAAACAGAGTTAATCAGGTTAGTGTCAGTCGCCTGTTTTGTACACCAATTAGTTTTAAGCATCACTATCGACCTATTTGGAGAGAACTAATGTAAAGGGTGTGGGTAGGTAACTGATCACTCGACATGTAAAGAGGAGATTTACCCGACCAATTTGGAGAATGTAGCCATTGGCACTGTTGGATAAAGTCTCAGACTAGTTCTATAAATATTCGGCTGTAGTATTGAACAAACTTAACCAGAACGACGTGGTTAATTGAAATTTCATTTGAGCTGTACATATATATCCATCCATATCATTGAACATTAAGCCTTATTGGTTTTTGATACGTAAACACGCATTCCTGGTTTGGTATTTTTTTTAAATATAAAATCCTTCATTTATTGAATAAGGTTCGGTTTCACAAATTCTGAGTGCCACAGTGTACGGATCTTCTCCATCGTATTCACTTGTTTTTCACACTCTTTATAGTAAAATGACTGGGGTGCCTATTCCTTTTATATCTTATTAATCAGCCAGAGGAACATTGTGTGATTACTAACTTTTCTTACAGAACCGTCTGGGATTTTACACCGCGGTTCTGCCGTACATTAAAGGAAGGTCTGACCGATCCCTGGAGCCGTTCATATAACATGACGAAATGGATTTGTATTGGCGTTTTCCATGACTGAACCTGTATTAACTGTACCATGAACTAACGGATATGTAATGAGTTGAGTAATTTTTGCATGAAAGCAGGCCCCTAATGCATTTTGTTCGTCTGTATTTAACAAGTTTAAGAAACAAATCACTTGGCTTTTGTTGGTTTAATAACAAACTAAAGTGAAACTTTTGAGAGGATATACCTTTACCATTAAAGTTAAATTTGTTAGTAGTCAACACTACAAAATGCAGTCTCCTTGTAGGGTGATTGTCGAAACATTGTAGTTGGTGTTTAATTTGAACTGAAAACGACAATATTAAATTATGTTCCCCATTAAGGAACAAGATCCTTTGCAAAATTAGGCCTGGCCTTTAAATCGGTTGAATTTTATTCGCTTTAAATGTAGAAACTTAATTATTTTTACTAATCTGGCCGGCTGATAGTCTTTGCTAATCGAAAGGCCCGGTATAACACAGAACCGGTATATTTTATGGGTCAAAGTCCTGACATGCTGCCAGGATACACAGCTCCAAACCGAATTATTTGTTACTAGATTAACAAAGCAAATGTCTAATTTTAGATACTAATATCACATGTGCCAGTTTTGCGTGCATATCAAGTTATCGTCTTGTTTGAGAAATCAATAAGGTTCATGCATTACCTTTTGCAGGGTTAAACCCACATCTCTTTCGTGGACTGCCTTTCGCTGGGTCTCCCGGGCCTTCTTCGTTTCCTCCCTAGGCTGCGCTCTCTACTGGATGCTCTACGGCGTCTACCGGACCGGTGTCTACCTTTGCCGACACTCAGCTAACTTCGTTTCGCGACTAACACTACCTTCCTAGTATTTTTCTTCTGCGAGTTTACTAATCAGATCAGTTCTTTATTAGGCTCGATGCTTATTATGAGGTTTTCGTCTCTAATTATGTCGAACGCGCAGTCGTTTTGATTCTCGCTGATTGCTTCCATGGTAATATAATCCAAACATTCCAGACATGAAAGCAACTCTTTCGTTTCCTTTACCAAGTGGGCACTTGCAACATCCTTCGCGTCGTCACTAAGTTTGCGTTATTCTTGTTTTGTTGCTTATAATATGTAAGTACCTTTTTTCGATCACTGTGATCGAACACACCCTACCGAATCGAAAGTGTGCAAGTAATGTGCATTTCCAATAGCGATGGGAAGTTTACTCATGACTGATTCATCAAGGCTTCTAGTTCCAAATTTGTGTCGTGGACCGATGGGTACTGGATCACCTGGATGCAGTTACCACTATGAGATCAGTACCCAGGGTTACTCAGTTGTCATTAGTGTTAAATAAGTTTAAGTATCAATAATCTTGTAGCTTGATGGTCGAGTGTAGATAATCATCTACATTGGGTATTTTTTTGTTGGAACATTTAAGCTTTGTTACTTCACTAGGTGGCTCTCGTTTTAGCTGATGACACCTGTGCAAGTAATCAAATGCAGTCACCGGGCGAGACAGAAATACGTAGATGGATGTGGCAAGGTTGCCCTGAGGCCTTTGTTAAGTCGCATACACTCGGCGCCTCCGTGCGGGTTGCTGGGCCTCAAACGCTTCCCGAAACTTACTTGCCTCTTGCTGAAGTTTTGAGGCTGAAACATTTGGCAGCGTTCTGGGGCCTTAGATTAACGTGGATAAGCAGAAAGACTACTGCCTACTTAGAAAAATCCGCTTGATAGAAACCTTGCCTTTTTGATGAACATGCTTGCATTTGCTGATTGTTTTAGTCACCTACAGGTCTTCGATTCTCGTCGCCTTGTTCTAGTGTTGCTCAGGCTTAGACAAAAAAGTGGGGGATATGTTTTGTTGGTTTTAAACTATAGGCTTGAATTCTCAGGCTATTGCAAAACTGCCGTCACATTGTTACGAGTACGTGGATGTTATGTTCGGCCATGATGATTGTCAAAGAATCGTTCAATAAGCTTACGCTGCTATTTACCAACTTAAGCGCACAGAGTACCGAAAGACTAGCACCCTTTCTAATCACAACTTCTGGTAACCCTTAGGTAAACAAGGAGAAACCTGTATAGTATGACTAGAAAACCTTTAATACTTTGGAAAATCACCAGCCGACAGACTTGTAGCTCATTTTATTGTTAAGCAGCCTTCCTCTTCTTGGGTTTTAGAGGTGGGGCTAACTTGCGAATCATATCATAGGTATCTTGGTTGATCAGATGAGTCACACGAACGCCAACTCGTGGGAGGCTATTATCCTTTCTCGCCAAAATTCCTTCCAGTATAATGCGGCCCGCCACCTGCCCAATGTCGTTGCCAAAAATATCAACCTCCTGCAGATCCTTGGCGTTCGCTATTATACTAAAGTAGAACGGCAAAATAGATTCAAACCACAGGGTCATTGCCAATGTAATTTTTACATCACAAAAGGCTGCATTTGAGTTTTCGTCCATTTTTTTAGACGGCAACGCATCATTCAGCATACTCGGTTTTAAAACGTCATTCGAGTATGCGTGGCATGGTGGCCAAAGGATGACTATATGGTTTGGATTTTAAATCTGGGAGTAGACAAGTCTTGTCTTGTGCATGTTATGCCAACATGATAGATTTGTCGTTTGGAAAAAAGAAAAATACTCTGGTTAGACATGCAAAGATATGCCATAATTGTCGTCATGGCAAAGTTCTGCTGTGGTATGTCAGAAAATTTTAATGCACTTTATTTCAGCTCATAACAACTTTTAGCTTGTAAGAGTACCAGTTTAAATTTATTTGAAGTTGGGGAATGTATCATAGTGATAAACTTAGGAGAGGTGTGCATTCTTTAAAACCAGGGGCTTTTAACGCTACCGATTAAATAACATTAACTTACGCCTTCAGTAATTGCATACAGCGAACCGGAGCAAAACTACCCCCACGGCTGATGCTGTTTATGTTGTTTTCCGCCATATGGAGTTGACTGATCTGAGGTCCGGATGGTGGAACTTTTAATTTCTTTTTTTTGCTCGGTCCTTAAAATGCAATAACGACATTCTCATCACGGTAACAAATATTGTGTTGGAACAACCGAAACATAAAAACGAAACAAACAATTCAACCAGGGCGTGACAGTCCCAGTCAATCCTAAAAAGACAGGTAGAATCACTTGGTGATGTACACTAGGAACACGGGTTATGAGGTTTGGCGGGTTCATTTGCCGGAGTGGATAAAGGAAGAACATTACCGACTTCAGTGTGCTCAGTATTTTATTGCTTTACTGCTTGAAGTGGAGGTCGTCTGGTGGTTCACGACTAACAATTATAGGGCCAGGTGGGGATGCTAAATGGACAAGTTCTTTCCGTCGTCCTTTATAAAGCCAAACCAGCCATAATTGGCAGCCTAGACACTTCCATCTCAACCTATCACAAACTACTTACTAGTTAGTTAGGAGGATACAGACTTAAAATTTGGCTCGGAGTATAGTTCGTGGGTTCCATTTGCTTCGGTAAAGACAGGTATTCGAGCTTACTTTTACGGTGTTTCCGTTTTTTTCTTTTTGGACCGGGATTTTTAGGCGCGTCACCCGAAAGCTCACCTCCAGAAGCGTTGACGTTGGTGCTTTCATCGTTGTTGTAAACTGCAGCGTCTGGTACGCCTTCAAAATTTAGGCTATTTGTCGTTTATGCCTTACCTTCAGCGTTATTCGCTGATGCACCAGGTGGTGCGTCGAAATCGATCCGTTGGCGTCCCGCTATTTAGAAATACAAAGAAAACCGAACCTTGGAGAACAAAGGCGTACCAGTGAAAAGGTTATGGTCCTCGTTTAAAGGGTGGTTGCACCATTTCCGCCTTGTGTAAGTTGAAGGAATGATTATTTATTAGAGCCATGTGATTTTCTGAACAATTTCCAGTATGGGCATTAAGTTTTCAAACTTTTGCTACTGAATCTACTACTGTTCGCTTCATTATTGCTGTCTAGCACTTATAAGTGCTGCCTTTAATGTGCTTGTGGTATATCGACTCATATAAGAAAAAAGTTCCAACCACTGGAATGAAATTTAGCCATGCAATTCCGACTTATAATGGCAATGTTTAAATATATTACGTTTACATACTGTTACGTTGTCATAAATTAATTAAGTGAAACAGATTCATAGCGCTTAGAACTAACGTAACCATCACAATTATCCTGTGAATCAAAGCTCAGGTTATGGACTCTGTTGAATTGGTATTGAAGGCTTAGTCACTGCACTTGAAGAACAATATGCAACAGAGAATAAAGTTCAAGACCTTTTGCTTTGGCTTCCAGGGCAGCTAGTTTCTCTGCTTTCAGTCGTTCGCGTTCGATTCCTTCCTGTATTGCCGCTTCCGCTAGCTGTGTGAGCAGAGCACTGGCTCCCTCAGCCTCCAGGTGGTTACCGTCTAAGTAGAGTTCTCTAAATGAAAGTTAATTCCCTTTTACAAAAACATGTTTTGCCCTTGCACCTAATTCTAATGAAATGTATGACATTTTGGGCTAGAAATTCATGAACGACCAAACGATCCATCAAAGAGGGCAAAAAATACACCGGTTCAGCTAAGGTCACTTTTGCTGCAATAAATTTGAAATGCACCATTCAAATAAATAAGAGAGCATACTGGGTTGATACGCAAGCAGGTTTTCTAAATGTTTTGTTATTTTTTTGCACTTTCGAGGCCTGTAAGTCAAATGACACTTACCTAATAGAAGTTTCAGCTACTAGGTTCCCCAGCCATATGCCACTTTGCTTATGTAATCCACAGAAACAGACACTTAGGCGAATAAGCCAGCGGCAAGATTTCAGTCCTTCACATAATGTGTAGCAGCCAGAATCACCAAACCTAGGTTGATGGTTAAAAGCAATAGCAGGTACCCTTACTCATTGAAGTCTAGGATCAGATTTGTTAAAGTTTTTGTGTAATTGACCTGTGGAGCCAGTGCGTCAATTGCTTTCTCATTAAGAAAGCAGTCAATAAGCTCAATGTACGTCAGTTCATAATTACCCTTGGAAACCATGCCACCCTTAAAAATGAGAAAAAAATCACTAGAGCTCTTTACCAAGCCAAGCATATCGCTATAATCGAGATACACTCCCCAAACGTAAAGTTCTCTTATTTGCAGATATCTATTGTTTCTCAGAGCTTCTATGAAGGGGAGAAGGCGCACCAGTGGCTTTTCCACCTTTGGTGTCTTTTTCTTTGGCTTGCCTTTTTTCTTTGTCTGTTTTTCATCATGCGCGCTTTCGAACCATTCAACAAAAGTCTTGTCATCCCAATATTCGACACTTCTCCTGTCCTTGGGATCCATGACAAACTAGAATAGGTGGCCGCTCCGAGGGTTTCAGATAAAACTCACTGTTTTGATGTGAAATTCTTCACTGATGCCTTTTTTAAGCGCCTCCCGAATTTTCGGACATGGTGAGCAGCCATACTCAGAGCAAATCCGCTCGTAATCTTTCAAAACTGACTTTAGCAGTTTCGCTAGAGGACTGTCTGGCTATAGGCGTCAGCCTAAATCGCAAGTGCTTACCTTATTTGCGTTAGCTGGTTTCGGTGGCATCTTGGCTTACTAAATACTAACAAGATTTTCCTACTGATTGCTGCAAAACGAAATGGGACAGAAGTCGTTTTCCGTGACATAACGAATTGAGTGCAGATATGATATATTATTTATATTTATATAGTGTTGTGAATACAAACTAATTACTTTAAATCCCAAAACCAAACAGATGCAATAAGTAAAATTTTAAGGGTTACATTTTTCAAATGCTGCTCTGATTGTTCTCGTCTATATGCACCCTAACGGCCACGTTTATTTAGCAAGGTAAATATCAATAATCAGTGCGGTGAAATGCATGAAATTAATCTGGATGTATTTCTTATTGATCAGTACTTGTAATCTAATGTACTTGGAAACTAAGAACACTGGCCTAACCATCTTTGATGTCCAACAGTTTTGGACATGCTTAGATCGTTTTTTAGAATGATAGAGTGAATCAGTCATTATAACCGCAGCAAATGCAAACGTAATCATTATATCTTTTATTTCCTAAATAGCATGGTTTTAGTGAAAATGTTTTTATGGTTTTGAAATAAGAATCGTGTCACAATAAGAATTTAAATCGCAGAATTCCAGCAACATTATTGCTCGCTTAACACCCAAAGAGATTATTTCCGGTTGTTGGTAATAAGACTTTAAAATTCCTCCTTTTGTCTCAATATCTTCTTTACATTAAAGGCCCCACAAAATCTTAAATATTTGGATTACGTTACTTTACAAAGTTTCATTGACTATGGTTGTTTCAAATAATTTCGTTGATTATAGGGATTATATAGAATACCTGTAACGTTTTAACTGTGTTCATAAAGGTTTATCTAGTAACATGTTTAGAGCTGGGAAAACGTATATTGTAGTTGTGCCCAGTCTAACTATGCAAGGGTTTCACTCCTTGATTGATTAAGATATGTTCAGTTACTTATCAGTGTTCAATTTGCAAAGATAAATCAGAATAATAGTGCTGGTTGTCGAATATATATACCATGTTGTAAAACTTGCTGTTTAATTATAGACTTTTTGAAGCCTAAAAAGAAGGCACCTAATGTGGATTTCTGAGGTAAAGTTCTCTCTTAATTCAAAAAATAATTAGACGAGAAACAGTCGGAACGGAACTCGTGCGTGGCACTAATACAGGTGGAGGGTTAATGCAAGGTTCAAATTAGGCCACAATCACACAAAATTATGTATTTGTTTTTGAAATTAAAACACACTAATAAATTTTAATCACATGTAAAAAATTTCAAGCCTTGTATACAGTTGAGGAGATCGTGCAATGTAAATTCTTAGCGTCTTAAGGCACTTTTTTTTATCAACACCGAGACTTCAAGAATTCAAGCGTGCCCTGCTACGTGGTATTTCAAAGATCATGTTATGAATCAAAGACAAATAACTAAGTCACACACGCAATTACTTCAAAAAATATTCAGTGCTGCGTAAATTTAAATTAGAGATTTTTCTGTGATGCTTGTAGTCTACCCTCATAAAATGGTGTTAAAACTGCTGATACATTTATTGAGGTGTGTATGTCTATAAATTAATTGCACTGGATGCGTCTACCGCGAACACGGGCTCTTTTTAGAGGCCGCTTTTTAGGACATCGTAGTTGACCTTTTGAAAATATGACCTGACTTCGAAATTGCCTGGATCAATTGGCGTCGTTTATTAAAACTAGGGAATTTGTGGCAAAGTTAAAAATATAAATAATTCATATTAATTTTAGAAGACTGCCATTACTTGGAACATTGGAACTTAGTATTTCAAGGTAGCCTACTCTTTCTTTACTTGAGCTGTGAGCCATTCGAAAACATTCATCATTTAAAACGCAACAGAATTCGCTGAGTTGAATAGCTCCATGTTTATATTAATCACCCAACTTTATAGCACCTTAGGTATCTTGACCATTTTTTCGCAAAGACAGCAGCCCATAAGTACAGGTTTAATGCACGCATAATCTGTTCCGTTTTATTATTATTATTTCTGCGTAGTGATACTATAAATGAACAAGTATTTTAGTGTTATTCGAATTCAGCAAAGAAGAAAAGAGAGGTTGTGGCGATATAGTGAAACTAAAAAATATACACAATAAATTGTTTTGACGCAATGTGACGTGTTCTAGTATCATTCAGTAAATCACAGCTTAATGTAAACAACGTGTTTTCATCCTTGAACTTTGGAAGGCCGTGATAAGAGTCAGATGTTACGTATTAAGATAATCCCGCACCACATTTTATTTATAGAGAAGCTACAACCGATGAGGTAAAATTTCTTGTAGTGCTTAGCTGATTTGGGTTAAATGAAGCAGGAAAATAAGTTACTCACAAAGCCAAAAAGTCATTTTAAAGGGATGAAAAATTTCCAAAATCAGGCCCTCAATCTGAAAAATATAATGCTAAAATGTTGACATTTAAAACGGTTATTAAATGACACGTTATTTTAATCACTTTGAGGCACGAAAAGTTACAGAGGAAACGAATTAGTTATGCCTTTCAGTCTTTATGGCCTATAATTGTTGGCGTTTATTTGCCTGCTACAACATGACGCCTTAAAAGTTAAAATAAAAATAGTATCGTGATGTTCAACTTAAACCATAAACGTGCTGCTAAATCGACTACAGGAAACCTTCGATGTCAAATCTAAAGGTCTCGTCCATTCATAAAATCAATAAAGTAAGTATTTTGAGTAAGCCTTAAAAGCATCTTTAGGTCATCGGATTCAAGTGTACAAATTTATTAAAAAGGATACCTGAAATTCAAATGTACCACCAAATTGGAGGTCTAATCTTCAGTAAACTACACGATTTTACATTTGCGCGAGACGCGTTGCTATGACAATCAAAGGTCATCAATCAAAGAGGAAATATGTCCGTGATTTAAGAGATTTTACTTACTATTTCTTAAATGTTATGTTTTATAGACGTTTTCAAATTACAAAAGGAAGCATTGAAAACAATTATGATACCAGCATCACATTTTTTACTTTTTGGACTTAAAATAAAAAAAAATAAAGAGAAAGGGACTCTGAAAAGCAGGTTGTATTCAAGGGTACATTAATCCTTCTCTGTGTTAATGAAAAAACTTCTATTCTAGCTACACACTAAGTATGGAGGTTGGTTATTTGGCTTCTTAACTTGAATCCCTGCAATTAATTGTGCTTTAAGCCTATATTTTATCACATTTTAATTACAATGGCATTTAAATGAGAGAGAAAACTGTTTAAACGGTTGTACGTGTGCGTCCAGAAAACATTGGATGATGTCATGAATGAGAACAGTGAAACTCGATTTCATTCGCACTCGAAAATAACTGTGGAACGTTACAATGTCAGGTAAAGTGTTTCAAATTCACTTTTGTCGGCGGTGAATACACCCAGATCTCGTGTGTTGAAGAAAACTTGATATATCCCTGCCTCTTAGCGATTGGAATCGACCAGGTCATCACAAATTCGTTTTATAACTTGATTAATAGTAATAGAAACATTTTAGCATTTAGAAAGAGGCGCACAGCATCAGATGAAAATGTTCTAGTGTCAAGTACATGCAGACTGTGTATCAAAAACCTTGTAAAGTAAAAGTATACCATTTGAGTACAAAACACTAACCTTAATTTATTTAGTCAGCTTATTATAAACCTTTTAGAGCTCTGAACCTCCATACATTCTTTCAGCAATTGGAAGGAAACATAGCCTTCTGTTATGTGCAATGATTTGATTTCGGGGAGTCTAGTAAGCTTACCAATGAATCTGTCCTTTTAAAGTTTCACGACGTGAAAAAATTTTTCCGTTTACAATTGTTTTCGCTTAGTGTCTTCTATGTTTCAAGCAGGTCGTGTAACTTTTTATTCTTTTTGCGCTCTTAGATTTTCTGTAAGCCACAAACACATTCATTGATAGATGTTATTTAATTTTTTTTCCATAATCGACTGTGTTTTGTTTATCGGTAAAAAAATAAATTTTTAGTTACGTGGTCACGTTGATCCTCCATCGGAGCTACTGTCAATTTTTTTTCTTTCAATCTTATGTATTAGGATGCTGTTGTTTCTATTTTTATTTAAACCAGATTCCGGTTAGATAATTACGCTTTTGCACCTCTCTAATCTTCTTTTCGACATAATATAACGTTTTTCCACAAATGTTGATTTTTCATGTAGTCCTCAAATATAAAGTGACTTTGTCCTCTTCACACCAAAAGTAGCCCTTAAGGTTCTGCTCTTGAGATCTGAACTGCGACTGAAATGGACTTCAATTAACCGCATATCAATATTAGTTTCTGCAAGATGTTTGCCTTGAATTTGACAAATTTTTATGCTTCTGGTCTGTTTTCTCCGAGTTTTAGCTTTACTTTTTGTCGCTTTGTAACATCCCAATGCATAAGACAATGTCACCATCTTTTGTAAAAAATATGGTTATCCAGTTCTTTTCTTAAAATTCAGTGATCTACTGTTGTTCGAATGCAAGTAGTCATATAATGGTTTAATCATGTGTATTGTTAATTGTTAGCATCGTATGGGTGCTTTTTTAAAGTGAAATCATGAGTTTAGCGTGACTGTCCTGTGATAAACCAACTAGACCACTTTCTTTTCTAAATTCATTTGAAATTCCAACCATTATGTTTAATAGGTGCACTTTACATTGACTTTGAATGTGCGTCTCAGGTTTTGAAAAAACCAGCTTTGCTGTGAATAGGTTCCTACAGCCACTTAGTAAAGAATGGTCAATATAAATGCAGCTAGGCTGCTAAGAGGAACCGCAGGAATGCATCTGTATGCCCTTTACATCACAGTCCTTTTGGACGCGCTTAATAGTCTGGAAAGATTTATGATTTCCTCTAAAAGGGAAAATCCTCCCCTAGGTTTTGTATTATCAGCTGCGCATCTGAATTTACCTAGCTAAGGCTGATCAAAGCATAATCCTATTAGTAATGAGTATCATGTTAAGTTAAATCTAAAAACGGGAAAAGGGGGTAAAAAGAGACGAGTGCATAGTTTTAGTGGATTCTTTGCCCAAGA